AAAAAAAACGTGTATTTTCTTGTGGTAGTCGTTGAGCGGTATTTATTTTACGTTTATGGGTATAAAATATACTTCTTCAATTCTTCAGAAGAAGAATCCTAGGTTAAAGGACAATTTGCTACTTATCATTGCTGAAAAATCTTCTTGAGAAAACGCGTGATCAGTACGTAGTTTTTTACTTAATATTGGTTTTTCGTTGAGCACAACCAATCAAGGGCAAAAAAACTCATAACCCCTTGTGTAATATTTTGTGTTTGTATATTTGGGTCTGTGTAAAAAATGCTCACCTCTAAAAATTATTTTAATGGTCCGTACTGGATAATTCTTACTGATATAAATGCGAAAGGTTTGTTTGTTACGCTTTCACGCTTCAACTATTCAACCGATCTTAATAAAATTTTGCAAACTTGTGTCATTTAACCTAACTTAAAAGATAGGGTAGCTTTTATCCCGATTAGACAGAGGGGCGTGGCACCTACCATACAAACGGAATTTTTCATACTGCATACCTCTGGGAGTATTTCTGGTAGAGTACTGGAACTTGGTATGGAAAAAAGTGTCATAACGGGATTTAGAGATAATTGCATGATCTACACTTTTGTCTAACCTATTTTTATGTTAAACCTTACGGTTTAGCTGAAAAATCTTAAAAATCAATTTATGCCTCCTTTGGCCTTGATTAATTTTTTTTTACAGATCTGGGATCGATAAGGACTTTCACATTTCACTTATAATGACGTTCGTAACATTCGTACCAATTATCAGCTTTATGCGAGTTATTGCAACCTTGAAAATCTAACTTGGCCGGGTTAATTGAAAACAATTTTGAAAATATTGTTTAACTCATGATAAAAACATTAGAAGGTAAAATCATTCTCTCAATTCGTCGGCCATGATTTTTTTCTGACGTTTGCAAACATTTTAAAATGATATAAAATTGAAAATAAAAAACTTTAATTGTTCACAATGGTTGTTCTTTGAGACTAAAAATGAGAATGTGTGTGTAAGCTTGAGTTCGAATTTTAAAGTTATATTGCTGGCAAACGTCAGACTGCCTCTCAAAGATTTTACCTTGTAATGCTTTTATCATGGTTTAAATCATGATAGAAATATTTATAAGGTACAATCGCTGAGAGCCAACTTTAGGAATTTTGACGTTTGCTAGCATTTTGAAAATTTCTCTCGCCGTCATTTCGCATTTGTTTGTTTTTATTTTCACACAAACCAAAGAAATATATTTTTGTCGAAACAAAAAAATTTGCGTATACATACATATTTAAATAAATAAATGGAAGCAATTGTCTGTAATGGACTTCTGCCCGCATGTTAAGGCGAAGTTTTTGGCATGCATTTGAATATATTTTACCTTAAAGGCACTGCACTTTTGCAAAGAACTATCTTGTGCTTACATTGGGTCAGGTGGTGTGGCAAAAAATGAGCCGAGCATACATAGCGGCCCTTTGGCAAAACACCACAAACCTCGATCCATTTTTGCTGTATATACGATAGTTGCGGGAACTTGAGGATCTTGAGATTGCTTTGCTTGTAGAGGAAAAGGAATTTGGGCAGCCGTTAAAACAGCAACTAATTCTTCGTATCCAATTTTTTTAGATTTTTCAACTTCTGAATAAATAAATATTTCAAATCATAAATTTTCTTTTGTTTATTTTGAATTTCTTTGACATTAAAATTATTTCGAGAGAGTAAACTCAAAATGCTAGCAAACGTCAAAACCCCCAATAGCGGACGACTTGAGCGAGCGGTTTTGCCTTTTAATATTTTTATCATGGTTTAAACGGAGTAGCAATTAAAAAATTTAATTACGCGGGTTATAATGTATTACAATTGGGTTGACAAGTGATTATTTATGAAAAAAATTGTGCTACTATGTTGAAAAAAATGATTTTTTTTAATTGAAAAGTCCCCGTCTCAAAAGATTTTCCCATATACATCTGTGTCAATAACGCATATCATAAAGTCGAAAACTAGAGTTCAGTCTGATGGCCACAGATATACACCTATGTATTAGAGATGGATTTTTTAGTTCATTTTAAAGATTAGTTCACTTCTAGGTCGTACAGCTCAATAAACTATGTAGCTCTTCTGATTATTAGTTCGTTCACCTTATTTAACTATAGTTCACCTAATTGAACAAGATCGATAGTAAGAGCTGAAAAAATGTATCTTTTATAACACATACAGATGCGTGCAACTAATTAGCAACGAAATTCAAAACGATATTGCTTGCAAATTATGTTTATTTATTTATTTATAATAATTTTCATTTAAAATATAATTCAATTTATATCAGAAACCACAATAACAAAAGTTGCAAAGCTTGCACAAATTGCAAAAAAATTAATCAAACTTCAAAAAATTGTCATCAAAATTTCAAAATTTCTAATTAAAATATTTAGAAAATTTTCGGGTATGCAATTTTGTAGCCCATTCAATTTTAGTATAATAAAGTGCAAGTTTCAAGTTGCTAAAAATTGCCGTTGATTTTTTAGAATTTTTTGTCGAGGGTGTTGCGGATTTTTTTCCATGTAAAAAAAAAAT